TACAAATGGGGGCTCTGTGATTAGAGATGAACTAGGGCTCTTTATAATTTCCCAAGATAGCTTCTGAAAAATGATCTGATAACACAGCAGTCATTTTTCCAAAGATTTAAGCTATTCAGAACCAAACTGATAAATTTGAAAATCTGCCAATTTAACAGGATATCATATAGTAAAGGTATTAATTTGATAATCTGCCAATTTAATAAGATTGCCATGTATTAAAAGCTAAACAAATTCCTTCATGCCTATTTTATTTTATTTTTTTATTGGTACCAGGAATCGAACTCACGACTGCCTGCTTACAAGGCAGGCGCTTATGCCGCTGAGCTAAATCCCCAGCCCCCCTTCATGCCTATTTTATAGGATGGATCTCTCTTGGGATTCCAAGAGAATAAGTAAATTGGAGAGAAGATTATAAGTTTGTTAACTGAAGCCATTGACAGGGTAGATCATACCTTTCTCTGTGATGTATTTCCTTGAACTGACTTTGAAAATAATGTGTCCTCCTGGTTTTCTCCCTTCTTCCCTGATGACTCCTCTGCTATTTGCTCGTTTTTTCTACCTAATCTCTTCATGGCAGATGGTTTCATAACTCAGTCCTTGATTCTTTTTTCTCCTTGCTAATGTAGATTTTGTATATAGTCTTCTGAAGGTGTAGGAGCCTACCTTACCCTACTTTCTGTGTTCTCTTTTCTGTGAACTTAAAATACTAACTGGAAGCTGATGATCCCCTTTTTCCCCCAGTTTACATACCTAGCTGCCTCTTGTGGATTCCAGACTTGAATATATTTTCAACTGTCTGTCAAATTCAGCGTATCTGAGACCCAGTTATTGACACCCCTGCCCCAGCCTGTGCCACCAAGCCTCCTCTATCATCACAGCAACTTCAGCTACTCTCCTAGTTGCCAGCAGAAGGATCCCTGGGAAAGAATAATTCCTTTCTTTCACACCCCACAGCTGTCCGCATGGCAGCTATGAAGAATGCAGCTCTTCTTGACACTGCTAGCCCTCCACTTGGAGCCTCTCCATTGTCTCTTAGCTGAGCACCCTTGAGAGGTTCCTTAGCCGTCCTCTGCAGCCAGAGGCATACTTGAAAAGTAAATCTGGTGTTCAAGGACTTCCCCTGTTGTTCCCAGTAAAAGCTTCTGTCTTTACTGTCCTTTAGGGTCCCCATTGCCTAGTTCCTTGTGAGTTTTCTAAGAGATATCTGCTTCACTTAACGATGAAGAAACTGAAGGTCAGAAATTGCAAGTAAATTGTCCAAAGGCTCTCAGCTCACAAAGGACCTACCTATACTTACTTATCTCTGGAACCCATGGCCTCCAACTAATACAATCCAGTGGCATTTATTGAGTTGGGGATAAAGAAAGACAAGGAACATATTTTACTTTTAAATATGTTCTCAGGATGCCTTTGTTTAAGTGGAGAGTGCTTGGTGTTAATTTTCACACAGAGTCCGGCTAGAAGTTAATCCTGCGTGTCCCGAAATGTATTCTGCATACCTCCTTTCTCTTATTATTTAAACCAGGGCCTCTCTGTTCCTTCCAAAAGTAGAAAGCATCTGGGCTTCAGTCCAGAGGAAGTTTGGTGGTTTCCCATGTGCTTTTCCAGAATGATACAGAGACATGGCCTTCTGGGAAACAGGACTGAGTTTTCCCCTCCTCCACGGGAGGATAGGACATGTGTGCTCAGCTGAAGAGTTGCAGGTTAATACTTAGAAACTTGATTGACTGCACAGTATCTATTCTCTTGAGCTGTGGCCCTTGGATGACCATGCCGTGAATGCTGATTCCTTCTACAAAGGAATCCCTGTCCCTGTCCCTGTCCCCAAATGATTCTTGTCTTCAGTGACACAAGGTTCATGCCGTCTGACAGAGGCTACTCTCAAGCATTTGACTGCAATTATAACCAAGTTAGTGGGTCAAAACAACATCTCATTATCTCTTAACTTTCTGTAGCTTCTGTGGCTTCTCTCTTTAAGATCGCATCAGGCTGCAGTGTTGGTATCAGCTGGGGTTGTGGTTTCATCAGAGGCTCAACTGAGGAAAACCCTTCTTCCAGGCTCCCTTGGGTTGCTGGCAGAATTTATTTCCTTGCAAGGATCAAGATCCTTGTTTTCAGGCCCGGAATTTAGCTCTGTGGCTCAAGTGCTTGCCTGGTAAGCACAAGGTTTCGAGTTCAATCTCTGATTTAAAAAAAAAAAAAATCTGTGTTTTCTTGTAGCCCTTGGTCAGGGTTACCTAACAGTTGCTTGTCATATAGCCCTGTCATAACATGACAACTTCCTTCTTCAAGCCTGCAAGGTGGAGTCTTAGGACATAATGCAACCATGGGAGTGACATCCCACCACCTTTGCCACAGGACCTGCCCTCACTCAAGAAGAGGGAATGCACAGTGTGTAACCATCAGGAACTGATAGTCACCACAGCAACCTTGCAGTACCCCATCCCATATGCTAATAACTTTTGGTAATGACTCTTTGCATAGGGCTAATGGCACGGGGGAGGGTTTTTATATATGGTGGTTCTCTGCCCAGCTCTTGGCCTCAGCTGCATGCTCTGCCCAGCTCCTGGCCACCGCTGCATGCTCACAAGAGTACTGACTTAAAACCTGGGCAGCCCACATCCAGCCTTGGAAGGCTCAGTGATCCTCACCATCCTGCGCCTTCAACTCTTCTCAGTGTCACACTCTTTTCATGTCAAATCGTGGGGCTGATTCCTAAATAAGGGAAAGACTTGTTAGTTGCTTATGTAGTCCTTCAATGTGCATTGCATTTGCTTTTTCAACAAACTGTAGGCTGAGCTATAATTCCTTCATGGTTCATCTAGAAAATTTATAATGCCTATTCTTGTTAATCCTTTGTCCTTCATTCAATTCAGATGTAACTGAGTTAATTACTTGGTGAAGTGAACCAGAGCTGCCTTTCTTGTTGTAGAACTTGTTGCAGAACCAAAGACAATGCTATTAGCTTCTGAGTTAAAGATTATTTTTATGGATCTAGTCTCTGGTTGCTTATAAATTCATCTCCTTTCCATTCATGTTGTGGGTGTAGTATTGACCTATTTTAAATGATCATAATTTTTCAACCTAATCACTTAAAATCTCAGTGGGTATTTATAAATGGCCTTATACAGCCTGATATTGTTCTCCATGTGACAAAGCAGTTGGGATTTTACATTTTAGAGTCCCCTCCCCTGCTCCGTTCTTTGTTATCTGCTACCTCATAAAACACTCAAGAGCGTGTCCTGATCTTCATTTTCAGAAGTCCAGAACTTCCTAGGGAGAGAAATGAGAACCTAAGCCTCGTCTCTGACCACACATTAAGGCAAGAAAACTAGGGTTCAGAATTGGTTTATTCTGCTAGAATTATTCCAGACTGATCCATGTAGTGGTTTAGATCTAGCATGTCTCCCCTCAGCTCCATTTTGAGAGGTAGGGCTTTTAGGAGATGACTGGGTCGTGGGGGCACTGGACTCCATAGTGGGTTAATTCATTGATGAGTTCAAAGCCAGCTGAATGTGCAGTTAGGTGGTGGGGTCTAGACAGAAGAGGGAGTCACGAGGGTGTGGCCCTGGACGATGTAGTCTTGTCCCAGCTTCTCCCTTCTTCTCTGCTTTCTGACTGCCATGGGTTGAGCAACATTCCTCTGCTGTGTCCTTTACCATGCTGTTTTGGCTTTGGAATAACCCTCCCAAAACTGTAAACCAGATAAGACACCTTCAAGTTTCAGGTGTTCAGTATTTTTTTCCCAATGAAAAGCAAGTGACTAATACAACTCATTAGAAATAAGCATCTTCTTTTACATTTGAAATGTATGCACACCTCATTACCCTACCGTGGAATGGATAGGGTAGAAGCAAAAATAAAAATAAGCTATTGAAGTTTTCTTACTGAATCATAGTTGTACACCTGGAGAAAACCAAAGGCTCTCATTTTTTTCACTTTTAATTTTCATGTAAATTTTCCCCAAATGGTTAATGGTAGGATAAATTGCTTTTAAACCTACATAAGAATTTTGGAAATTCATTTTTAAAATAGTATATCAAGTACACAGGCAGAAACTGGTGAAATGTGTGGAAGTGACCACTTTAAGAGTTTTATGGCCTGCTTGCACTTAAAAGGGCAAGCAGGGCTCTTGGTGGTAGTGGCGTCATAAGTGGGCCATGAAGGCCCTGCTCACTCTTCAGCCAGTGCAGAGTAGCTGGTATGTGATCTGAGATCTGAGCAGTACACAATAGTCCTGATCATGCTTTTCCAATCCTTGCTATCTGAGGAGAGAGCACATTCTGTTGACCCACACCTGCATTTCTTGTTGCTACAGGCCTGGCTGGGCCCCTCCTCATCAACTTCCAACAACTATATGGCTTCCAAGAGTTCCCCGACCCATGTGAGCACCATGCAGAAGGCTACAAAGGGGTGACAGAAAAGGGTGGGGTTTCTGCTCCTGACCATGTGGCTCCTGGCCCTCCGGATAGCAGTTTGTCCTGTGTGCTGTATCACCAGCAGGTCTGGACTGTGGGAATATGAGGACCAGGATAAAGGGGTAGAACCCTTTTTAATATCTCTTAAAGATTGATTTTTAATTTTGTAAGTGATATATGAATATGGAAGGTTAAGACTATGGCTAATGTCACTGTTGTTGCTTTCTGTGTGTCTTACTAGGTTTTTTCTATGCCCTGCATCTACAGCCAATGCTGCATATGTTCCTGATGTGTCTATGTGTGCCTAATGTATGTAAAGATATACATAGTCTACTGTGTAAGCTATAATGTATTGAACCTGTGTCCTGCAATGATATGCTGTGCTTAGTCTTTGAGATCCTTCCATGGCATGTAACTATGGATATTCTTTGAGTTGTTTACCATAAGTTACTTTTCAGTAGTGCTACTTTTGATAGCTACTTGAGGAAACAATTTGGGGTCTCACTGGTACTCAATAAAAATAATATTTTTGAAAATACTATCCACAATATCAATCTTTGTGTCTTTCTGTGTCTTCAGATCTCAGAAAACTGATTCTTACAATGAAGGCTATGTCTTGGAATTAGATTGCTCCTCTTCCTTAGAACAACTGACAGACCAAAAAACCATCCCAGAGTTCATTAAGAAGGTGAGTGCTGAGGTTGGGATCTCATTGGACAGGTTCACAGGCTGCGAGGGCATACAAATTAAGACAGGTCAGATGCACTCCAGAGGCCTTGGGGGCAGTTGTGACCTAGACCTTTGGGAAACTCCTTCCATATATCACACATCACTCTGGCTACAACTGACTATGGAATGAGATGGCTCCTCCTCCCTTCCTGGTTGGTGGGACCAGGCCTTTTACCTTTTAGAATTGGAGTGGTGTTAATAGACATTGAGCAGGCACACCTGCTGCTGGAACTGCTCTTAAACCCTCAAGGGCGTGTGAGCTCCCACACATCTTATCCCTCCCCAGTCCTGTGGGTCTTTGTTGCTGTAAGCTGCTTTCCTTTTAACAGTGCAAGAGCATGCCAGAGTCCTGTGGTTCCTGGTGTGTGATATACCAGGGAAAATTGCCCCATTGCAGGGAATTTGGATCTGCTCAAAAACTGTCTGGTTTTGAATGTTTCTTCATGCACACAAGGTTCCATGCCTAATTGCTGAGTCCACTTGAGTTTCATTATGACATTTACTGCAGTGGGAATGACCTTGCCCAAAACTGGGGCTAAGTTACTTCTTGGTATTATCTTGTCCCCTTACCCAGCCTCCCAAAATACAGCCATGTGTCACACAGTAAGGGAGATATATTCTGGGAACTGTGCCACTAGGCGATTTCTTCCTTGTGCAAACATCACAGTGTACTTTCAGTGACCTTCATGGTCTAAGTCAGTCACAACATGGACTTTTTATGCAACACCAGATGTATGAGGCTGCTACACACATAATGTGACACTGCATATGTTTTACAGTAAACATTTTATATAAAAATAGATGAAGTATACTCCAAAAGATATAAAAAGAATAGTATGGTAAATACATAAATCAGTAACATAGTGGTTTGTTACCAAGTATCGTATAGTGTACCTAATTATGGGACTGGCAGCACAATAGGTTTACAATGGCATCATCCCAGACACGTGAGTAACATACTGTGCTGTGATGTTAGGGTGGCCATGACATCACTAAGTGATAGCTCCATTACAATCTTCTGATGTCACAGTAGTATATGCTGTCTATCATTGGCTGAAATGTCATTATGTGGAGCTGGAACATGACTATAATCAACAGTTCCCACCCTGTATAGGTTGCTGTGGTTTGTTCGAGGCTTGGCTAAGCAGTTTGTGAATTAATAAATATCGCTGGGCATTACCTTTAGATCAGGGTTAATATTAGGTGTTGGAAAGCAGAGAACAGACTAGCCATAGTCCCTCCCTCTTACTGTTGTGATGGGCGGGCAGATGGACCCTGCCAAGGAGCCTTGCTGGGAGGGAGGATGCTGCTGCCTTGTGTGGTCTGGTTAGAAAAGAGTGTTGAGATTGGAAGGTGAAGAGAAGGCCACGCAGATGTGGCCACACGAGACAAGGTGGGAGTCTCAGAAGCATAGGGAACAGCACGAGGGAGGGCCTGAGGCAGAAGAGAGCTATCAGAAGAGATCAGAGAGGTTGCTATGAAGAGGGGGAATGCTGGGTAGAAGACGGGTGTAGATTTCCAGAGCGCCACGACTCAGCTGTAAAGAGCAATGGGAAGCTGTTGTGAGGAATTTTTGCAGAAAAGTAAAGTATCCCTTTAGATTATCCCTTTAAAGGTTATTAATTTCCTTCCTTCCCTCTACCTTCAACATAATCGATCAGTCAGGCTCTGGAGGCCCTGCACCTACCTATCTATAGAAAGAGCTAGAACATATAGACCAGGAATCAGAGGATCTCTCAGGTCAGAATTTCTGATAATTCTACAAGGATGGTGGAGGCTCACTGTACCCTGGTAGAATTCAGATGATTATTGAAGAAATGGGAAAAGTAGTTTTTGTTACACACACGCAAGTCTGTGAACATGTGTGTTTTCTAACTTATGTAGGTCTCTGCATAAGTAAGGTCACCTTTGTTGGGTTGCTGCGAATGTAAAACTCTATAATCAGGCTGGGTAGAGATGTCCTAGAGGTAGAATTCACCTGAAGAACTGAATGTGAGGGAAAAGTAATTTTTAAAATTGTTTTATGATTAAGATTCAGATGCTTGGGATATCTGAGTGGTATATAAGTTATATGAGTGTGCAAGGCTCTGCCCACTCTTTCAAATATGCTCTTTAAAAAAATGTGATGCGGTACCTTGGTTTTAACCAAAGTAGGTCATTGCATGACTGCTGCTGAAAGCACCTGATTCATGGGCTGTGCTGCTGCTGTATTTCTGAAGTACTTACTGTAGTGGAGATACAGGCATCTATCCAACAGAAGATAAACTCAAAATTACGGGTTTTACATACCACAGGACATTAGGTAGTTCTTTAATTTTTATTCCAGCTTTCTGTCCTTCTGCTCATCATGTGAGTGCATGTTTGTGTGTGTATACCAATATCTGGGGAATCATTCAGTGATTTGTTAAACAAATGACTGAAACTTATTCATTCTATATTTGCATAAGAATTTTGTCTTTAATATTGGGAAAGATACCCTTTATTATATCTCTTCGGCCATACCTTTGGATTTTTGATTGCTACATCCAAGCAGACTAGACAAGTTGCACAGAGGCCAACCCTGATACTTTTGCCCTGGAGTGATTTCCAAATGTGTATCTCAGATATTCTCTATCCTGTGAACAAGAAAGGTGCTAGGATTCTTGCTGCCTGACAGGAATCAAGCTCATTTCAGTTGTCCCTCTGCTGCCCCCACCTGCGCAACCACTGCCCATCAGTATGTGAGGACTGAAGTTTGAAGGCGTTGGGATCCTAGCTGTTGGTACTGGCTCTGATTTTACCAGACCAGTGGCCATGACAAGCCTGAAAATAGACATGAAAGAGTGCACCTGAGCTTCCTTCCTTCTACTCGTCTTTTCTGTTGTTGGACACAATTTCTAGAGAAAACACCCCGTGTGTGTGAAGAGCAGAGGGTTCTGAATGCCCCCGCCAGGGCCCAAAGCTGTTCCCACAATGGCAGAATTTTACACATATAAGAATTTTTTGTCATGACACAGGTAGAAGACCACAGGTGTCTCCCAGAAAGAAGTAGACTGAAAACCATTTGTGTTTCCCATTATAAATATTTAATGAACATCTCAGTCCCTGTTTATATATCTGTAGTGGTGACACTTGTTAATTGCTATTCAGTTAGGCCAAAATGAAGTTGTAACACTGGCTGCTGCAGCTTACAGTCATGCTTTTTATCTGGGTCATTATTGTGTGTGAAATGATGGCTCCTGTTTCTATGACAAGTAGATTCATCCTAGGATGAGATGGTAATTAACCCATTTTGTCATTGTACCACCATGCAGGATAAGCTCATGCTCTTCTCTGCATATTAAAATTAAACCAAAACTGATCAGATATTTTTCAACAGTTTCTCAACATTATTTTTCTACCAAATGTTTTAAATTAGCAGAACCTTTTGCTAGAGAATGTGAACAGAAAGGAGAAGAGAGCTCATTATTTCCAACAATTAGGAAAAATAAAGCCATTTGTATCTGTGTCATGTAAAATTAGCCAAAGATGCTTTTATGATTTGTGTCTAGATGTCCCCACAAAGCCTCATGCAGTCATAGGTTTTTTTCAGAGGTGACTGAATCTAGAGTGTGTGATTGATTCCTAGTGCAGTGCTGGGATTAAAAGTACTGGGATTAAAGGTGGGTGATTGCTAGATCAGTCCACTGATTGGATTGGCACTGTCCTAATCCTGATAGGATGCAATACAAGGGACAAAAAGAGACTTGTCTTGGTCCTAAGTTGCTTTTGCAATCTCCTGCCGCCATGAACTGTTGCCCCTCTGCCATGTGCCACCCTGCCTTGGAGCCAGCCAGTTATGGACTGAAACCTCCACAAACTGTGACCTAAATAAACCTTTCCCCCTTTAACTTTAAGTGTTGGGTATTTTGTCTCAGCAATGAGAGAAGAGTAACTGAGACAGAATTGCTCATGGAGGGTGAGGGGAGTTGTGTAAAGATGACTTTATTCCCTGTAATGTAGTCTTATGAGTGCTTTGGATGGCCCAATTAAATCCAGACTATTGTGTTGTGTTTTCCTGCCTTACATCCTGCTGTGCTTCAACCAACTGGCCTGTACCATTGAACATTTAAAAAGCAGAGTTGTGGGTAGACTTGGAGAGAATTATGTTTTCCAAGTTTTAGAACCGAGTACTTAAGGGACAAAGAGTTGAGAGACTAAATGAGAGGCTAATGGCAGAATGACAGTGTCCCCCAAATTCTTTTGGGACAAGGACCAGCTGTTGTCTCAAAAGTACAATGGGAGCCTGCTTGTATGGCTGGTGAGTCTTTGGGGCCCCTAAAATTTCCTCTTCTTCAGAGTTCCCACAGGGTTTACAGAAGAACCGACTGGGACAGAGTGACAGGCCTGTTTATTCATTCATCAGAGTTTGTTCTTTAGGGCTTCTTGGATAAGTGCTTATGTGTTTGGAAAGTACTTTAAAGTCTTCAGAGTCATTGCACACATTTTCTGGTTTATGCTAAATGGTAATTCCACTCAAAAGGCTAAGGATGCCTCCTTTCTAGACCTGAGGACACTGAGTTTAAGGGATGAGTGCATTAACCAGTGGGATCTCTGAGCTATCAATAGGACTTGGATCAGTCCCTCTTAGGGGAGGGACTGCCTCAGTAAAAGGAGTAGGAAGGAGCAAGGAGATTTCTGACCGTGGACTGGTGAAGGTTTGGAGGTGTGTGTGTATGTGTGTGTGTATGTGATGGGTGTGATGCAGGCTCTGCAGAGTTGAGTTGATGTTCAAAGAGGCTGAGCAGCAAAGTGACAGTGTCTTTCCTGATGTGGACAGAGCAGGAATGAAGGACTAAGACCAAGAAACAACCAAGATTTATTTGGATGAAGGGAAAGCTAGACAAAGGGAAAAGCAGGTGTTTTTTCTGTAGGATTTTGATCATGTGACACAAAGCTCTACTTAAGCAGGTTTATGATGAAAATGCAGGGAATTACCTG